GGAAGGAAGGAAGGAAGGAAGGAAGGAAGGAAGGAAGGAAGGAAGGAAGGAAAGGAGATTGGGAATGTAGGAGAAGATGTGGCATAACCTCCCTTGAATCTGGTCTTTTGCGAAGGAAGGAAGGCAGGAAGGAAGGAAGGAGGAAGGAAGGAAGGAGGAAAGAGGGAGGGAGGAAGGAAAGAAGGAAGGAAGGAAGGAAGGAAGGAAAAAAGTGGAGGGAGGGAGGAGGGAGGAAGGAAGGAAAAGAGGGAGGAGAGAAGGAAGGAGGGAGAGAGGGAGGAGGGAGGGAGGGAGGAAAGAGGGAAGAAGGAAGGAAGGAAGGAAGGGAAGGAGGGAAGAAGGAAGGTAGAGAGGGAGGAAGGAAGGAAGGAAGGAAAGAGGGAGGAAGGAAGGAAGGAAGGAAGGAAGGAAAAGAGGGAGGAGAAGAAGGAAGGAAGGAAAAGAGGGAAGAGAGAAGGAAGGAGGGAGGGAGGGAGGAAGGAAGGAAAGAAAGAAAGAAGGAAGGAAGGAAGCTGTAGTCATAGAGGAAAGAATGATCCTCACGCTTGTGACCATCACAGCATCCCCATGGTTACACGATCAAAACTCAGGCACTTGGCAACCAGACTGTCTTTACAATAGTTGCAGCATCCTGGGAGGGTCACATGATCCCCATTTGTGACTTTCCCAGCCAGCTTTTTTTGGCTGTATTAGCTTTTTTGGCTGCTGCTGCTGCTGCACACGGCTGGCTCTTGGTCAAGTGATCGTCCACCAGGACTCCAAGGTCCCTCTCCCAGTTATGGTTTTTGAGCCAGGTCTCCCCCAATCTGTACTTACACCTTTGGTTTTTTTCCTGCCTGGGTGTAAAACTTTGCTTTTCTCATTTTGTTGCATAGGGCCCATGGTTCAAGTTGGTCAAGATCTTTTTGGATCCTGAGATTGTCTTCTGGGGTGTTGGCTACTCCTGCCAGTTGGGTGTCCTCTGCAAATTTGATGAGTTCCCCTTCAATTCCCTCCTCTAAGTCATTGATGAAGATGTTGAAGAGTTTACTGGGCCTAAGATGGAACCTTGTGGTAGCCCACTACTCACTTCCCTCCATGCGGATGTAGCATCATTAAGGACTACTCGTTGAGTACAGTTTGTCTCCCAATTACAGATCCATCTGGTGGTGCTGCTGTCTATCCCACATTTTTTCTAGCTTACCAAGAAGTAGATTGTGGTCTACTTTGTCGAAGGCCTTGCCGAAGTCTAAATATTTTGCTGGTCCACTAATGGGTCACTTTGTCAAAGAATAAAATTCTG